ATGAACAGACATTTCTCAGACAAAGAAGTAAAAGCAGCAAATAGACATTTCTCAGACAAAGAAGTAAAAGCAGCAAATAAACATATGAAAAAATGCTCAACATCACTGGTCTTTTGAGAGATGCAAATGAAAACAACACTGAGATTCCACCTCACCCCAGAAAGAATATCTGCTATCACAAAATCAACCAGTAACAAATGCTGGTGGGGATGTAGGGGAAAAGGAACCCTGCTCCACTGTTGGTGGAAGTGCAGACTGGTGCAACCACTGTGGAAATCAGTACGGAGATACCTCAAAGAACTAGGACTGGAAGTCCTATTTGACCCAGCTGTCCCCCTGCTGGGGATCTTCCTCAAAGATTTAAAAGAATCATACCACAGTGATATATGTGCACCCATGTTCATAGCGGCACAATTTGTGATAGCTAAAACTTGGAAATAGTCCAATTGTGGTTCAACTGGAGACTGGATAAAGAAGATGTGTGTGTGTGTGTGTGTGTGTGTGTGTGTGTGTGTTTTAAAATAAAATGGAGTACTAGCCGGGGATTTAGCTCGGTGGTTTCACCTCCTGCTGCATAAGCACAAGGACCCAAGTTTGATCCACAGTACCAAAAATACATAAATAAATAAAATGGAGTACTACTCAGCCATCAAGAATGAGAAATTAGAGACATTTATAGCTAAATGGATGCACACTGAGGCAATACTCTCAAGTGAAGTAAATAGGACACACGTGTGGAAACACTGAATAGTTTCTCTGGTGTGAGACACTGAAAGTGTAAATAAGGACTAAATGTATAATGGCTCATGTGAAACAGGAAGAGAAGGTGCAAAAGGGAGGGGGAAGTGGGAGGGTAGGAGAAAGGAAAGGGAAAGGAATTAATATGGGAAAGGAAAAAATGGAAACAAACTCTTTGTAAATGGGAGGTGGGGTGGTAGAGGGGTTGAAGGGAGGGCAGAGGAATGTGGAAAAAATGAGAATCAAGATGCAGCATGTAAAGATACAAATCTCCAATGATGAATGTCATTATATTGTATACCTAAATTGTACAAATAAAATTAATTTTAAAAAATAAGAAAACTACTGAAGTGGTGGAAATGGGTCCCCAGGAGGCATAGCAATCATTCTGCTTCTTCTCATTTCCTCCCCTGCCCAGTGGAATCACCAGGCATTGGAAGGCCATCCACCAGGTGTGGCTCTCCAACGGGTTCTGCTCTCCTTCTCTGCCACCCAAGATGCCAGCAGAACTCTGGGAGACCAGGACATGGCTCCTGAGGCACTTAAGCTCTGGCCACTACCCTGGACGGTCCAGTAAATACAGAGTTCTTTCTGTCTTTCTCTCGGCCTCTGTTTGGTTACAGCTTTTCTGAGTCTGGTGGGTATATTGGAGTTATCTCGCATTAAACCTGTTTAGGCCAAGTATTTTTAGGGAGAAAAAGGGAAGACATTGAAGTCTACTCTGGCCCTTGGAGCCCTTGGCACTGGGAAATGTAGAGCTTAAGTCCAGCCAATTCTTAATATGGCACTTCTGTGTGTCACCCTGAAGTAGTGTGGCTAAGCAAGATAAGATTCAGCTATGATTGTGTTCCAGGCTGTAATACTCATTTCATAGCATGGAAACCCTCAATAAATATTACAGTGGTCAGAATTTAATTTAAAGATATTTTAAAATATTTGTTAGGGTCAGTACTAAACTCTCGAAGTAAGTGTGACACGGATGCCGATTTCCTCCTCTCAAAATTTCAGTAGAAACCCCAACATTTGGGAACAGTTCAAAATATGCCAGTCTGCCCTGAATGAAGGAGGTACCCAATACACAGGGGTTTTGGTGGAAAAACCGGAAAACTCCCAAGTAACTAGGCTGAGAGGATCCCACTAGTTCCAAGCACCATAAAGGAGGTGCGCCAGATGCCCAGGAGGCCAGGCAAGATGCTGGTGGGACTGGTTCTGCCAATGTTCACCCTCTACTGCTCTGCTGAAGCCACAGGAGAGAGGCAACATTTGTTCTGAGAGCAGGCAACTGTGGTTCCTGATGCCTCCTCTTCCTTTGCAGAGGGATTGTGAAGACATCTCGTTTCCAGTGTCATTGCACAGCTGCACAGCTGTGTCTACACTCTTCTCTTCTCCTCCTCTGCCCCAGTCGAGGATGGGCCCCAACCAGCAGCCACTGGGTAGAGGTAGAGCCCCTACCCAAGAGAAGACTTGACCCCGCCTACCCCATTTCACATGTCGGGGAGGGGAGCAAAGACTGAAGTTTTAATAGTTGGTCAGCAAGGGCTTTCAGCTCCTGAACTGAGATTATTACTGTTAAAGGGGAACTGAAAAACTGCAGGGCTGCCCGAGACAGGCAAGAGCTCATCTGGGGGAATGAAAGGCAATGAGAGAATAAACTTGCTTTATGCTTACAATTCACAGGTGTGGCCATTTAATAACCCAACATGTAAGGTAAAGGAATTTCTGTAAAAACCAGATACAATTCAAAGGGGAAAATGTTAGGTCCCAGCCAGCTAAGATCTAGGGTGTAAATACATTCACAACTTTGGCTCAAAATGGGTTTGCCTTTTACATTTCACTGTTCTCGGCTTAGCTAGTAAAAAATTTAAGGAGGATCTAGATCTCTCCAAGCCTTAGTAAAATCTGAAATGAAGTGCAGGGCAAAGGGAGAGTGTCTCATACTGGGTCTTTCCCTAAACTTGGCAAGACCTCGCAGATTCGTTTTCCCTGGAGACCACCTGGCCGTCAGCTGAGGCGCCAGCTCCACAGAGACCCGGGGAAAGGGAGAGGTACGAAAAACATCAGCTGACAGGTGGGAAGGGAGGCAGGAGCAGGGTCCTGGGTTTAATTCCTGATCCCTTTCTCCACACACTCAGGCCAGAAAGTTACTGGCCAGGATTCCCAAGCAGGTATCCAGGGCATCTTCTACTTTTAGCAGGGCAAATTTTAAAATTGCATGTATGACTTCACTGTTCTTGGGGACAAAATCTCTCAGAATTTGTCTACACACACACAGATTTCAAGGAAAATATTATAATGCTTCAGTCCAAATAATCTGTTATTTTGAAAATATCCATTCACAAGATGGATGCAGCTACTTTTGCTTCCTTTCAAAACAAAAAATGTACACATCCACCCATGGGGCAGCCATGTGACTGTCAAGAATATAAGATATGTAGTTTGGTGAAAATTAAGAATATTAATAGGCCCTTAAAATTTTCCTGCAGAAATCTACTGATTTAAAGTTGACAGTCATTTGGAAAATGAGATTGACCCTTCATTGGCTAGGATAAAGAAATTTCTTAGATCATTACTAAAATAAGAATTTAAGGGTCTGATTATAATTTATATATAAATATATGTGCATATTACAGAAATTCAGAAAGTAAAATTGTATCAAAATACAATGTGGAGGGCCAGGGATTTAGCTCAGTGGTTCTGGTGCCTGCCTTGAAAGTGCAAGGTCCCGAGTTTGATCACTGGTACCAAAAAACAAACAAAAAAACTACATATGTAAATATAAACATTGTAACCAATTGTAACCATAAACACTGTCCAAATGTAAGCAATGCATATATTTTCATGGATGAACCACCATGGGCTTTTCTATATATCCATACCTATGTCTCAGTATAGACAGATGGATAGGTACTTATGCACATATCTAGATTTAGAGATGTAGAAATATATACTTTCAGAAATATATATGTTTATACATATGCATTATTTTATGACATACACAGAGCCTGTTTTCTTCATTTAATCTCCTTTGCAACACATTTCCAAATAATAGGAATTTACGAGCTAGGAAAGAAAGCTACATACTGACAGTGGAATGGCTCCCCATTAACTCTGGCCCATTTGCCTCTGGATTTTCTTTTTTCTTTTTTTTTTTTTGGTACCGGGGATTGCCTCTGGATTTTCATAGGCATGAGAAGTAAGCCATTTTGAGAAGCCATTGTATTTTTAGACTCCTCTCTGGAAACATCTTAACCTATGTCCTGCCCTATACAGTGGCCATGACAGCCCTGCCCCTCAGCTCCAGCCAGGACCAGCAGAGCCTTTGTGAACTCAGCAGCTACCTTTGCCCACTTACCTTTTGGATGTATGTTTTGTGGCTTTCTCTTTTTTATTCTTAGCAGTTATGCCCTTTCTTTTTTCCTGCCAACCAAAGAGAATGAAGTGAATCAGTCAGAGCTATAAATGGAATTCTCCGAGTCTTATGTTAGCTCTGTGGAAGTATGGTTTCAAGCTTTGGTCCACAGGAGCGGAGCGCCCCAAGCTGCTTTGCTCCTGTCTGTCCCCCAAGACCCATCAGGCCTCTGAGCCACTCTGGGGGCTGTTGTGGTGCTCGGCACTGCTGACTCTGTTTCAGATTGTGGATCAGCTGACTCTGGTCACCCCACGGGGACCTCAGACACTCGCTTGTGAGAAGAGGAGATGACGGGAAAGAGATGGAGTTCCAGCCACCATGTGCTGCACACAGGGTTTGTGGCAGTGGAGACTAAGAATCCAGGCATAGAGGAGGGAACACCCCAGACCTAGGAGGTACAGGGGAGAGAGGGTATCTGTCTCTCAGAATTAGCCCAGGCCTTGCCCAGAAGGAGAAGGCCCTGGCATGGCTCTCCCACCATGGAGGATGCTGACAGAGCCACCTGCTTGGTATGGAAGGGTAGATCACCTAGGCTGTGCTCAGTAAGTACCCACTCCCCATGGAAGGACGAGACCCAGTTTAGCAAGCTGGGAACTTGGGTTGTGGAAGGCTAGGCCACACTGGAGGCATTGCCCACCTTCTCTTGGACTGATGCTTGCGTCCCCTGGGGGAGCTCCACATCCACGAATGCCTCTTTTCCAGAGATACCAAGTGTGCCCTTGGGACTGGGCATCTTTCGTCAGCTTGGCCTCCCTCCTGGAAACACAACGGCCTCATCAGAGACTTAAGGCAGTTGCAGTTTAAGAAATCAGTTAAAGACTGCAGGAGACAAATCAGATGTGCTGGCAGTCTACTTGTAAGACTGGGCATAGGGTTTCTCAGGTGCCACACCGGCCTGTTCTCAAAGAAGGAAAAAAGAAAATGGGGAAATCTTCCTCTTTCCAAAGCCAGGAAGTGTTCTCTACCTTTTGAAAACTAATTTTATTGGTACACTTTAGATAAATATAATGATCACATTCATCATAGGGAATTTGTACCTATACATGATATATCTTGCTTCTTCTTTTTTCCCCATTCCCTTCAACCCTTCTACCCTTCCTTATTTACAAAAGCTGTTTTCATCTTTTTCCCATCTATTTTTTTTCTTTTCCCTTCATTCTTTCCCTTCCCTTATCCCCTTACCATTTTAACACTTTCTTCCTACTTTCCAATATCTCTCAACTATTTTGGTCCTGATGGATAAAGAAAGGCAGTTTTTATATACAATGGAGTACTACTCTGCCACAAAGAAGGACAAACCTGAGGGATTTTTAGGTAAATAGATGCACCTTGAAATCATACTTTTAAGTGAAATAAATTGGACACATATGTTTAAATATCACATTGTTTTTCTTGTGTGAAAATGTACTCTACATTTAAATGCTTATAATATAAGATTAGATTGGACCCATCCAGCTAATACAAGATAATTTTCCAATCTCAGGGTCCCTAGTTTGATCATATCTATAAGGTTACTTTTGCCATATAACATAACAGATTATAGGTTCCAAGGATTCAGGCTTGGGCATCTTTAGGAGACAATCATTCTGACTACCAATATTATAAATAACAGCAGCAGCAACAACAACAACTATGGCATTAAAAACCTTATCTGTGACATCACAAGCAAGCATATTCTCAGTTATTCTTACTTTTTTTCCTCTTGGGTTTTCCTAAAGTAAGATTGTTTCCCATATCTGCAGTATCTAGAAAATAACAAGTGGAAGTGAGGAAATGGAAATTAACAAATAAAAGGTACAAATCTTATGACAGCTCATACCACAGAAGGCTTAAATTTATAAGGCTTAAAGTTTGGGTGATCATTCCTTTCTTCCTTTTAAAGGAATCCAAAAACCTACTGAACTGAGAACTAGGAGTCCTGGATAGGCCCTGGGTCTTCTTTATTTTCTCAGTGGGACATTGAAAGACACTTTTCTGTATCTACATACTTCAGTTTCTGTGGTGATAGAAACAGCTGTCCTACCCTGTTTAGGTCTTAAGATTTTTGTATGGATTAAATAATATTTTATGTGCAAAATGTTATACAAAAATCCTTCTGTAAATCAGTAACAGGCTAGAGGATTCAGTCAAGAATGTTACTAGATTAAGAATACTTGATCTGAATGAAGTCTTTACTCCTGAAAACCAGTTTTCTGTTGACAGACATCTTTCTAATGTTGTGGCAAAATGATACTATTATTCACTAGCAGAAGAACACATGGTTTTTTCTGGTTCTTGGAAAGACTGGTTGTGACTTAATGCACCAATTTGGCAAACAAAATAACTACAAAATTTTTTTTTTTTTTGGTGCTGGGGATTGGACTCAGTGAGCTAAATTCCCAGGTCCTTTTTACTCTGAGACAGGGTCTCACTAATTCACTATGATACAGAAAAGTTTTAGATAATGTAATAGATTGAATATTAAGGTAGTTGTAGAAGCAAAATAAGTAATGTATTCTTTTAAGATTTGCTTTCCCTGTAACTCCTTGTTTAAGGTGAAGATTATCTGACTCTAACCAGTAACTTCATTAACCTAACAAAGTTACCAGGCCAGGGTGAATTTACAATGTATTTGGCCTATCTTGTGTCTCTGAATTGTAAATAGGAACTGGAATTGTATTTACGTATCAAAGACCACTAGGGATAAGATAATGGCTAAAAAGGATATAAAAAGGGAAATGCTGAACAAAGCGGGCACAGATATTGACCAGGCTGGTTTCTGGCATTCCTGTCCGCTCGTGAGAAGAAATTTTATTATTTTATCTGAATTCTGTGTCTCTGTGTATTTCTTTCTGAGATTTCCACAACAACTACATTGCCCAGGCTAAGTTCCAACGTGTGTTCCGCCTGTCTGCACCACCATACCCAGCTCCTGTGATTTTAGAGTGTATTTGTAATACGTCATCTACACGTAAACGACAGAGCCCGTCTGTAAGACCGAGGGCCTCACCAAACGCTCCGAGGAGCTGACCGCAGTGAAGAACACCCGGGAAGGAACACACCGGACAAGTTGGAAAGTAAAACAGACCTTTATTAGTCTGGCCAGATGGCACTCCCAAAGCAAACTAGCTTAGAGAGGCAACTGGCTCTGAGCCCGAGGCTGTTTTTATAGGGGGTTGCAGGGGAAGTTAGCAAGAGAAAAAAAATGTTGATGGTCAAAAGATGTTTGTAGATTGTCTTATAGATAGCTGTATCCGGAAGGAACATCGGTTTCGGACAAACAAGGAGTCAAACAAGGGTAATTCACTTAGGAACTCTATGTTTGTTACAGATTTTATCTAGTGTCCCAGAACTAACAAGCACATTTTAACTATTAACTCACAATCAGTCACTATGTTGGGGCTGGGGGAGCTTTTATGATTACAGAGTTATGTAGTCCCACACGTCCTGTTAAACAGGACTTCAGTTCCCAAAAGACTCAAGTCAAGCAAATGCAGAATGGGATTCTGGGATGGCTGGACCGCCGGCCAGTACATAACCTGGGATCTGTGGTACCCACACCACCCAAACAGCACCACCTCAGGCATCCTCACCTGGTGTGTCACGTGCTTGGCCACTATCTGTCCTTGCTTCTGAGCCTTCTGAAACTCTTGGCCAACACATGACACAGGAACACTTCTCAATTTCATGTGCTGATTGCTCCGCTTCTAGGCCAAAATTGTGATTTTATGAAGACGTTTCATCTGCTCCACGATCCTCTTTTCTACATCCTTGTTAGACCTTCTTCTCTGAAGTCTTCTCCTTTCCTTTTTCTTCCCATACCTGGCTCTTCTCATCAGTCTCCCTTCTTTTCCTCTTCTGTCTTTTCTTCTTTATCAGCACTATGTATTTTTTTTTTTATAATTTCCTTGCCCATGCAGCGTAGTGGCCTAGAAGTAAGCTCTTCAGATTCTCCTTCTTCATTCATGTGGTGCTCTTCTAGCTCACCAGGTATTAATGAAAATAAAAAAATTATTCTCCATGGATCCTGCAAACGGTGGCCAATGAAGAGTCCCCCCCTGCTACCATGCTGCACCGACATACGGAGCCAAGACAACTGCTCACTGGGGGAAAAAATACCTGCTCCAACAATCAAACCTGAGACCTAAGAATCATACCTGAGATCTTTCCATTTTGCACCTCATTCTCCTTTTCTTTACTTTTATTTTTCTACTTGAAGCCCTGAGAATAAAACTGAATTGCTCATCTTCTGGGAGGAAAATATTATTCTTTGTAAATAATAAAAAGTAGCTACAGAACAGTTTTAAACTCTTCCAAGTTAGCCTTACACCAGTAACCACACTTCTGAAAGCCACCCAATCAGCACCAGACATTCTCCCAACTCTGCATGGTCTTGTGTGCTAGGCTATTCATAAGCACTCCTGCTTCTAAGTCTGCAGCTCCTAAACTACAGGCTTCCCGAAACGCTCCATAGACTCTCATTTATGGAAACTGTGTCCTGTAAGCACAGTGCCTCTTCCCACCAGCTGCTCTGCCTAGCAAGCTTTCAGCTTCATATATAGAGTGGTGGCCTCGCCCTTCAAAATTTGGATTCCCCACCGAGGTCATCTTGCAGACTTGCTTGGGAGAGTTCTGGGAGATCCCAGACCAGCAGGCTTCCCCTGCTCAACTTGGTCTTCTTGATCCAGTGCCAACTGAATTTGTCTCAACAACAATGTGCTCTCTGACCTGTTTCATTAAACTCTTACTTCTGAATTTATCATCTTTAAAGATGGATATGCAATTAGATATAAAGTAGCTAGATATTTGGGGTTGGAAGTGCAGCATTTAGCAAATATTCTCTCCATTTATGTGCTTATTTTCCCACTACTTTATGGACTCTCACTTTTCCTTTGTGTATTTTTTTTAAAGTCTTGCTTTGTATGTTTGTTTCTGACTTTCCTATGCTTTCTGAATCTTAGATGATGGTGAACCCAAGCAAATAGATGAAGACAAAGGTCTAACAAGTCCCCAACCCAAGTTAACCCCCCACACTAGTGGATATAGGACCATCGGACAATAGGAAATTGTGCAGATATTTGGTCACATGTTGTCATGGCTCCCTCACCAAAACCTTCATGAAGGCATTTGGTGTCTTGTCAATTTGTAAAAGAAAATCAGTTTTGCTTAGTCCATGATCTGGAGCCAATTCTTATCATGGAATCAAACATTTGTATCCTCTGTAGTCTCTGTTTGGCTAATGAACCCCAGTACTTCATGCATGCATGATCAACACAATAGCTAGTCACACTTCCAAATGAATGCAGCGCCTCTTTGGTGGTTGTCATGGGATTGTCTTTGTCAAAGCCACAGTCTCTTCTTAAGACATTTACACATCTTCTATGTATTCTGTCACTCTAACCCTTGCACTTAACAAATGGCAAAATTTCACTAATGATGGCTTTGGGTAACAGTGGGGTACTTTTCACACGTAAAAAGTAACACAGTTGATAAGTATCTCTATTATTATAAAGAAGGGGGGAATCTCCAACAATTCCCATATTCCAGCTAGTAAATGTTACTTTTAGAGCACTGAGGAACATTCCTATAATAATATATCTATAAATGTACTAGATAGAGGTTCTATTTTGCAAATGGAACTACTGGATTCAATGTATGTGTGGTGGATTGACTAATGTAATTGACTTGTAATCCCCAGCTGAACTGAATCAGCTGGTCTAGGTGTGAAAGACCCACCTGAGTATTGTTACCAATAGCCATAAAAAGAGAACTGGAGAGGAAGATCTTGGCCTGTTGATTTGCTGGGAGAAGCTTACTGCAGATGGTTTTCCTGATGCAAACTAGGATGTTCTTATCAGAGGAGGAGCTCAGGGCCTCACTGTCACTGGGAATGGTTGCTGTTTCTGAAGGACCCTTGTTAGCAAGACAGACTCCATATTGTTGCTTGATCCACATGCCTGCCCTTTAGATGAACTCAAAAGGAGGAAGCTTAGAAACTTCCTCCCCTTAGAGAGTCTCTTAGAAACAACAATTAATCAATGATTGTTTTACAAATGTTCTAACAGCAGGATGTTCCACTTCTGTACCTTTTGCTTGCTTTACTAGTTCTATCCCATAGGGGGGCCTAGAAACTGCTGGCCTCAAAGGTGTATAAAACATGTTTGTCAACCCTCAGTCGAGGCTCAAGTCCGATGCTCAGCTCGGGTCCTGGCCGGTAATAAACTCCTGTGTGGATTTAATATTGGTCTCTGGTTGGTTCTCTCTCACTGGGTACAACAGTTTCCATCAGGGGAGCTCTAATCTTCACTGTGAGCGACACTTCCTGGCTCCAGTGTGGATCCTTCAGCTTGGCGGCAGAAATCCTTCATCTCACCAGCGTAGATTTTCTGGCTTCCACCACTGGCCTTTGGACCTTCCAGGTGCAGATCCTTAATATGGACAAACATGAGACATTGCCATGGGCTCTAGGCCACTGGCTGGACTTCAGGAGGACATTGCCTTGGACTCTAGGCCTTCAGGGGGACTTATGTGGGAAACTGCTGGGATCTAGACCCTCTGTTGAATCCTTTGGGCTTCTAGGGTGTGGTTAATCACTTGCACTGCTTTGCATTGGACTCTTTGGGTAATTATCATAAAATAACCTTACAAGTTATGTGTCCTGTATTTAATGTATTCCCTTGCCAAATCTGGCTGACTACAACAGTACGGAAGGACCAATTTTAGAAGTTCTTGAAATTATCCTACATGTGATCAATTTATAGTTGATTTGAATTTTAGTACATCTATACTGAGTCAAGATCAGCAAACAATAAAAAGAATAGGTACACACCTCTTCCCTGTAGCACCTAATCCAATTACTGTAATCTCTTCAGATTCATCTAAAGGCAAATTCTTTCCTTTAATGCATTTATGTTCTGTTTTTGTTTGATGTTCATTTTATATTAGTTGCTTGAGACAATCAATAATTCATCTGGACAATATTTTCTATGGATTTTGCTAATCCCTGTTGTGGCAGGCAGAATTTGCAGATGGTTCCTGAAGATTTCCTTCCCTAATCCTAGAAAGTATGAACATAATGAGATATTCCTCCCATGCTTGGGTGAGTTTATACAGCACAGTTGACCTTTAAAACGGGAGATCATTGGTGTGGGCTTGTTCTAATCACACAAGCACTTTAAACGCATATAACGTTTTCCATCTGGCAGCAGACGAGGAAATCAGAATTCAGAGCATGAGGAGATTCCACACACTTGTTTCCTTGGGGATGTCAAAGAATGGGGGCTTCTGGGAGCCAAGAGTGAGTGCTGGGCAATAACCATCAATAAAGCTGTGACCTCCGTCCTACAACCACACACAGCTGGATTCAGTCAACAACCTGGACCAGTTTGGCTGCAAAACGTTCAGATAAGTGCTCAGCCTGGCTCATATGGTGGTTTCAGCCTTGTGGAACTTCAAGCAGAAAATTAAATGGAGCCTGCCCAGAATTCTGATCTGTGAAAGGAACCTATGATAAGAAATGGGTATAGGGTGAAACACTGTATTTGTGGTAATTTGTTAGTTGGCAATGAAAAAAAACAAGACAATCATCCTCTCTCAAGATTTGAGTAAGACCTAAGGGATGTAAAATTCATATCTGCATCCTCTGTAATCCAATATATACGTGACCTCTCTTCTGTGCCATAGACTTGGATACCTCTTAGTCTAGGTATTGATCTGGCCAATCAAGGACACAAAGCTTGTAAGAAAAAATTTGAATTTTGTAAAAGAAAAAAGGGGAAGGGTTTACTATATTGGCTGAAGAAAAGATATTATATGTAAAGAGATGTTACAAAGTATCCACCATCAAAGGCCCCATTGCTAAGAGTCATATCTTACATAGCTGCCTCAAAGCAACTGCAGGTGACTGTGTTCTCCCAGGCTTTTTGTGATTTTGGACTTGAAACATCTCCATATGGTACTGCATGAAGTACAAATCTATTGCTGGTTGAAAGCATTCAACCATTTGCTGTCATTTTACTAATTAATCATTAAATATCATTACTACTTCTATAGCCTTCCACAGACATAACACTCTCCCCTAGCAGCTGTATAACTCTTACTCAATGCAGGGGGGTCCTAGAATTTTATTTCCCATGTCATTTCCCAGAAAAGGTAGTTTGGATGTGGGCAATATGGATGGTCCATCCCTCTTGTACCTTTGGAGAAGAGACTTCCTAGAAGGGAAACTGAAAATTGAAAGTCCCTTTGCTCTTAGAGAAATTCATTATTCTTTGGCTATATTAAAAAGAAACAACACAATCATTCCAGTTAATCAATGATAGGTTCAACCCAGTACATGGTCCTCTGAAAGGTGGCCAACTGCCACATTCCCGATTCTGCCAGTCAGTCAATAAGTAAGCACCACGCTCTGGTTACCTTGCTTTCCCTGCCAAAGGTCAGCCAGTTTCTACACAAGCCCACTTCTGAAGGCCACCGACCCTGAGCTCCAGACATGCTGTGCAGAAAAACTGTGACTCACAAGTACAGCTGGTCTTTGCTTTAAAAAACAATGAATTCAATCTTCTGCTTGATATTAAGAAGTAGTCTCTTCTGTTAATTGTACACACACATTCATTGCTACACCAGGAACATTTTAGTGCTTCTCTTTCACTCTCTGGACTTTCTATCCCTGACATTTCTTACCCCCATAAATATTCGTGTTTTTCTCCTTGAGAGATGCATTATGGATTCTCACATTGCCTCTGGGTTCACCTTTTCTAGCTCTATTCTAGTTACCTCCTACCCACATGGTAGCTTGCCTTCAAATTTTCTAACTCCTTATGATGTTTTTCTCTTCTCTCCTAAGCATTCTTCATTTGCTAAATAAAATCTTTTTCCATTGAATCCTGGTAGAATCCTCTGGGTTTCCACTTTGGACTCAGACCATGGACTCAGCGCTAAGCCATGGCCACTCAGAGAACTAGAGGCCCATGTGGCATCATCCAGGAACCTAATCTCTGCTCTTCCTGTCCTTCTTGTGACTTACAACATGCCTGTATCTTACACCCTTTTGTGTCTCTAGCTTCTCAAAACATTAACAATTTGCCTACCAAAATCTTAAGGTTCTTGAGGATAAAGGGTAACATAATTATCAAAATACTCTGAAAAAACACTGTATGGTCCAGCGACATAATGGAGAATATTGGTCAACCATGGCATTTGGCTTCAGAAATGGTTCATCTGAATTCTGTCAATTAGGACAGTACTGTTTTTTTGAATGCTTTTTCAAGTTTGCGACAAAATGATAAAAATAATTGTCAGGTGAATGTTAAACTTTTTCATTTTCCTAAAATATAAGGAATAAGAATAACAATTGTTATATGAATTCAAATAACAGTGACAATATGTATGGAAAAAACAAGTGTGCTCTGCCATCCTAGTGTACTTCTACTATAACTGAACATATGAATACAAGACCTAACATTAAACCAGACGCTAACCATAGGGTTTCTTGAGGGTTTTCTTCTCCTTGAATTTCTCCCAAAGCCATGAGTAAAAGTGAAGAGCAGAATTCAAGGAGTAACCAGATGTTTTCACAGTAAATCCACCGGGAAACTCCTGCTCAGAATTCAGCCTCCGATACCCTGCAGCCCACACAGTCCTTGCCCGTTACCTCACCCTGGTCTTGGTGGGCGATCAAGGCTCCCTGAGGCTCTTCTCCATCACACATTCATAAACAAGGTCTGTTACCTTCCGCAGAGCAGAATGAAATCCCTGAAGGCCTCAGTGTGACCAAGGGAAGTCCTAGCAGGACAGCCCACCCCAAGACAATCAGGCAGCTCAAGCAAGTGCCAGGGGGATGGCCCTGTCCCCAGACCTTCCTGCCTTTGCATCCCCCTGATGTGGAGCCTGACAACTCCCATAAGTCCACCCACCTTGCTTTCTCCCAGACACCTCATTGTCTCTATTCCTGACCTTTCCATGGACTCTATACCTTTCTTCTGTCTGGTATGTGAAGGGACTGTGGGAGAATGGGAAGGTAAAGGAGAGATCTTCCTTTCTACAGACAGGAAAACAAAGATTCGTTGGTTGATTGAGACTAGAAGGCACGGTTACCTTCTTGGTTGTCACATGGTTCTTGGCTGGGAGCCTCCTCTGCTGCTTCTCCATTCATCTGGGGAGCTTCAGGATCACAGGACACTGAAGAGAAACAAAGACAAAGTGGACCATGCAGAAGGACCCAGAAACACGTCTTGGTGCTCTCAGGTGGAGCCAAGAAGTTCAGAGAAAAGAAGGGGTGTGTGGGGGTCAAAATCACAGTATAGCGTCTTTAGCAGAAAGAGTGAAAAGCAAAAAAGACCGCCTTTTCTTGGTCCTTACTCCTCCAATACACAAATGTGCCCGCATATCCTGCTGATAAGGGTCATGCTGTTCCAAACAGAATTCACAAGAACTTTTCCTTGTGTTTCCCCCAAAAGGTCAAGGTAAATGCAAAGAACTCCGTCTGTGAACTGGCTAGACTCAGCAGAGTCTGCTCAGGATGCACCCAGCAGCACACCCTGGGTTGGGCCACTGCCATCCTGACGCCCAGGGCTGGAAATGCTCCCCTCACAATGGAGGGCTGTTTGGCCATAAAGAAGGTTAAATTTGAGTCATTAGTAAGAAAATGGATGGAACTTGAGACCGTAATAGTGATTGAAATAAATCAGACACAGAAGGTTAAATATTGCATGGTTTCTCTAATATGAGAGACCCAGAATATGAATAATTTATTTTTTTTCCATTAAGTTTATTGGTACATTATAGGTATACAATTCAGTTACGTTCATCATTGGGATCTTGTACCTTTATATGAGTATCTTGGTTCTTATTGTTTCCCCATTCCCCTGCCCTCCCTTCACCCCCTCCACCCTTCCCTATTTGCAAAGATTTTGTTTCCATTTTTTTCCTTTTCTCATATTTTTTCTTTTCCCTTCTTTCCTTTCCCCTCCCACTTTCTCTAATCCTTTAGACCATTTCTTCCTATTACACAGTATCAATTATACATTTTTAAAATTACAATATCAAGATCTAGGAGCCATTACCACAGATTTTACAGAATTTAAAAGGATATAGAAAGCATATTGCAAAAATCTGTTTTGAAATAAATTTGGCAGTACCTTGGAAATACCTTGGAAATACCTTGGAAGACAAATTAGTAAAACTGACTCTGGAAGAAATATAAAATTTGAATAGCACCTATTAAAGAAAGTATATTCCTAGCATGAAAAACTACCTATATGACAACAGGCTCATATACATTTTAACTGACAAATTATATCAAACATTTAAAGCAGAAAAAAGAAGGAACACTTCTTCCCTCATTTTAGGAACTCAACATTGTGCTAATATTAAAACTGGATAAAGGTAATAGAAGAGAAAAGTATGAACATAAATAAAAATTTGTTTAACAAAACAAACAATTAGAAGTCCAATCTGGTAGTATGTAGTAAGTGGTTTTATTACAGGGATGGCAGTGTTGGTTCAGCATTGGAAGATCCACCCCCATAAGTTATCATTTTAACAAAGGGAAAGCAAAAGCCATATGATCCTATCAGTAGTTGCAGAAAAAGTATTGGACTACATTCTACAGCTGTTCATGGTAAAAGCTATCAGGAGACCAGAAGTAGAGCAGAACCTTCTCAACAGATAAAAGACACGTACTCCATACTTCCAGCAAAAACACCTTATATGAATGGAAAAGATATAATCCTTTCTCCCTAAGGTGGGGGAACAAGGGCAGATATGCCTACTCTTCATCTGTCCATTAAACTTTGAAACACAGGCTCAAATCAAAATAGTCTGGCAATAAAAATAAACAAATAGCATAGGATTGGCAAGGTAGAAGTAAAATCTTTGTATGTAGATGAAATGATTATGTCAGAGAAAATACTAAGAAATCTCTAGGAGCCCCTAGAACTTGTATTTGAATTTAGCAGGATTAGAAAACACAAGGTAT